TTAGACTAGAATTAGACTAGAATTAGACTAGAATTAGAATAGAATAGAATAGAATAGGAATAGGGGATATGATAGGATAGGATAGAATTAAAAAGAATAGAATAGAATAGAATTCTTCATTGGCCAAGTGTGATTGGACGCACAACGAAGCACACGTTCTTATACATTCTCAAAAGCATTGCAACACGGAAACACTTAACTCATTTCTTAGTGGTTACCTTGAGGAGAAAACCTTATAAGGAGATGGGGTCTTACTTCTCCTTTTGTTAATGGAGTACGTGTCATTAACAATCTTTAATTGAACCTTGGACTTTTGACATAGGTTTTGACCTAGGGACATCTTGTGGTTAGGCACTGGCTTCCTGTTCTTTTGCAAACTGCAAGCTGCAACTTTGCCTATGTGGCTTTAATATAGAAGTGTAAAGGGGCTCTAAGAGGCTGTCCAGCCTGACCCAGTAGGTTTCACACTTCATGTCCAAATCTCACTTTACGTCCTGCTTTACAAGAGACCTCCTAGATCTTATGAGTTGCGAGCTTTGAGCTACCACCATTGGAACAAACACTTGTAGAAGAAGTCGTTCTTGGAGGAGAAGCGAAAGCCTTTGTCTGGAATGAACCCTTGGAAAGAGGTCTTGTAACCTTTGCTATCCATATCCATCTTGATGCAGTCCAGGAGATCCCGATTGTCCGGGGCAGCTTTCCACGGGCCGAACTGGACTACGGATTCCTTGGAGGTATCTAAGCTGTTGAGAGCATCGCTACACCTCGCCACGTCTTCCAAAGTCTTCATCACGCAGAATATGACGCTGGATTTGCGAGAGGCTACGGCTTCTGCCCGGGCGATTCGGATCATCAGCTCGATGTTTTCGGAATAGTTGGGCACCCGTGCGAGGAACTGTTTCCTGGCCACCAGCTCCCCGAAGATCTGAGGAGACTCTTCCAGTTGCTTGATCAGAGGCTTGATGTCGTAGTAGGTGGCTTCTTTGTAAACCTCCTCAACATCTTTTAAGGGAACCTGGCCACTACGCAGATACTCCAGGATGTATTTAAAATAAGTCCCAGGCCTGTCTATGAAGACTCGCCCCAGCGAATCTGTTCGGGGTTTCGCCTGGCCAAACATCTCCGCCAGTATGGTTCCTGGGTACTTCTTCAGGGTGCTCAGTGTGGTTGTGAAGATGTCCCCGCCAATGTTTAACTCGACGATTTGACACTGCGGATGAGAAGAGGGAGGGGAAGATATGCCACATCTCGGTTTTGAAGAGGGAAAGAGGAGGGGGACAGCCACAAAGATCTAGTTAAAGGAGACTTTTCATCAATAATACATTGTTTTAAAGAAGTTTGCCTTGGTTCTTCTAGGTCAAAGAACAATCCCTCCTGTGGGATTGAATGTTAGAATAGAATAGAATAGAATAGAACAGAACAGAATAGAATAGAACAGAACAGAACAGAATTCAGAATACATTAGAAAATTGAATAGAATAGAACAGAAAATATAGAGAATAGAATAGAACAGAAAATATAGAGAATAGAATAGAACTCAGAATACAATAGAGAATAGAACAGAACAGAACAGAAAATATATAGAATAGAATAGAATTCAGAATACCATAGAGAAAAGAAAAGAATAGAACAGAAAATATAGTGAATAGAATAGAACAGAAAATATAGAGAATAGAATAGAACAGAAAATATAGAGAATAGAATAGAATTCAGAATAGAATAGAGAATAGAATAGAATAGAACAGA